GTGATAATTTTATAAAGTAGGAGAAGATAATATGACTGTCTCTAGCATCACTTTCTTTGTGATCATTTCTCATTGTGTCAGTGTTAGAGATCAGTGGTGAAGGTTGGATATTTTGATAAAGCATCAAATACAATGTTGTATATATTTATATTTATAATGAATATGGCATATCTTATTAAAGCAGAGATTCTTCTTGTGTTTTTTAATGTAAAAATAAGCTACCAACTTATTATCTAATAGTAAGCATTCTGATTTAAAAGGGTTTCTAGACTCTAATTATCTATGAAATGAAAAGTTTATATTTATTTATTTAAGTATTTACTTTTAGGTCATAAAATATTCTAGCCACACTTCCAGGTTTTATGTTTCACTTTTTTTTCTCTTTATATCAATAGCATGTACCGCTAGTGTATGTTTACCACATTACTTTTATTATCTCCAGCAATAAAATTAATTGAAAACATATTCTACTTATTTAAGTGTTGTTAAGTGATTATGCTTCCTTGGAAGTAAGACGTGCTTTTCTAATGGATGTGACTAGCAAACATTGCCTAAATCTCAGGTGCGTCGGAGTGTCACCTTTGCAGTAACCCAATTTATTATTTATTTCTACTCAATAGCAGAATATTTAACTGCACCAAGTGTGAGTATTCTTAGCTCAACCCAATGATATCTCCATTGTGTTTAGTTTAAAACAATTTACCGGAGCTGGCCTGGTGCTCAGTTGGTTACAGCATCGTTCCAATATGCCAAAGTTGTGGGTTTGATTCTGGTCAGGGCACATAAAGAATCAATAATGAATGTGTAAATAAGTGGAACCAACAAAAGTGGAACAAACAATCGATCTCTCTCTCTCTCTCTCTCTCTCTCTCTCTCTTTCATCAATCAATAAATAAAAGATTTTCCCATTTAGTGATAAAACCTCTTCTCAAATTCTTCCCTCACTTTCTCCCTAGGATTGTCTCTCTACTCCTAAAGTTAGTCACATTTCAAAAATTGTCCATTAAGAGGTTGCTATCAGATGTTTGGTCTTGTCATTTCAATCCTATCCTGGCCATTGTTTCCAAGCATATTCCCTCCCTGCGCTCTCCCTCTCTATGTATTCTCTGTACCAGGCTCCCCTGATAATGAACTATTTCACTTGAGTTCAGCCTCTTAGTGCTTGTGATCCTCCCAGATGCTCAGGTGGTGTGGCCCATGTCATTTCTCCTGCCATGGGGTGCCCACATTGTAGCTATGGAACATACTGGCAGACTCTGCATAATACTTCCTGAGCTAATGTATCCTTGGAGAGCCCAGGGACAATTTAGGATCTAAGGAGGGGGAATTCTCCAGGCTTTTCATGCTTGCTATTTCTACTTCCTTATCCCCAGAGTCTTTTGCAAAAGTTGAATCTGTGAAGCTATTGCCTCCCCCAAAATCTCAGCTAGAAAGTGAGTTGTGGTGCCTTATTCAACGGATTTTTCAAATTTTAAAGGGAGATCATATTATGATCTTTCTTGATCAAGACTTCTCTTCTATTGCTAATTATCTTAAATTTATTTTCTATGTTCATACTTTTTTCACGCTCTTCCTAGGTCTGGTTTTCCCCTTTTCTTTTGGTGGTCAGGTGGTGGTGGTGACAGAAATGGAGGGAGGACCTGGGTCTGTGGGTTGACATTTTCTTTTCAGCCTTTCTTCTAACTGAGTCCCAGACTCCCAACTCCAAAGCCAATGGTGTGATGTTTTTGTTTCCAGGTCCATTTCTTAATACAACCTCGTAGGCCAAATGGCTACCTCATGTCTTCAATGTTCACACTGAGGAAGTTTGGGGGGAAGTGGCTATCAATATCAAAAAACATTCCAGTTAATATGACATATCCTATTGCATTATTAAAGTACATAGTCTTCATTCGAAGTATAACAAGTAGTAATCATTTACTACATCTTAGGAAAAACATTGCAGATGTATAGTTAAAAAAAATCACTAAGACCGCTATTTTGTTAATCCTGATATCAGTTCCCTTAAAGTGTTTCTAAACAGTGAAAAATTATATAAAAATGCATTAACAATTCCTTGAATTGATTTATGAAATAATTTTGACTTGGGAAGTTAAGGAAGTATAAGCTACTGTCACAGCCTACAGCCTACATAGTCCATACAGGAGACCAGGCTCTGACATCAGACCATCTCGTCTTCAATCCTAGCTCTACTGCTTGATAGTTGCATAACTTTTCTTAGTTCCAATTTTCTCATTTGTAAAATGGATACTCTGATAGCATGGTGGGTGGCATTAAATGAAATATTTCATGTAAAGCACTTAGCACAGTGCCTGGCATATTCAGCCCTAAGAAAATGCTCATTAATGTTATTTTTATGCTGTTTATTTTCCTTTCTACTGACAATCTCATTGACTAAGTGATAAAGCAATTGTGGATTACAAGTATAGAAGATGAATATGGGTGATTTCAGACAGCCAGTGGGGAGATTTTAGGATATGTTATAAACTTATTTTATATTTTATATGGGTTTCAGTTAGGGAAGTGAGAAGGCAAAAAAAAAATAAAATAAAATAAAAAAGCCTGAATAGGAACAAAATCATAGCAGTGGGTTTTGTGTTCTGGTAAACAATTAAGGGAAATCCTAAATATATGTAGATAACATAAGGATGATGAGCTAATGATCTATGGAGACCACATAAAGTTCATGCGGATTAATGATTTTGTCCTCTTTAACCCTTATTGGGAAAACTAAGTGTACTGAATGGCTTTTTAATGTCCTGATCTACCCTCATCAACTGTATAACAAGAAAAATTATAGCCACACTTCTCTGTTGCAACTGATTAGTAGTAGGCTCTGTTGCTTGTGGTTCATTTCTTGTGCTTTGCTTATGCCAGTTTTGAAATTTACAGGTATGACTATCTGGTCATTAAAGGAGAGGTTTGATTTATGTGCCTTCACCACATTAGATATTTAATGCATTTCAGGTCATAGATGAATTGAATTGATTTTTTTTCAAGATAATGCAAAGACTTGACAACAACAAAAAAATTGAAGAGATGAAGTTATAATGAGAGAATGAATGCCTTCTGTTATTCTGGTTGGAAAATGTAGGGCTATGTTAAGTAATTCAATTCTTGTCCACAGAAAAAGGCTAACATGATTTTGAAGGAGTCGTATGTCTTTGCAAAGCAAACGAGGGATTGCCTTTATTTAAAGGGGAAAAAAGACACTCAAACCACTTGATGATTCCAACACTATTCATGACTTGCGGTGCTGACATTCTATAGATTGATGGAGTCTTCAAGTGTGGAAATACTGAGTCATACAGAAGATGAGACGTTTTAATAATGAAAAAAATATTTATGCAGTCAGCAGATTGTCAGTTAAGGTGGTTTAGATTATAAGAGTCACCCAACAGAGACTATGGTATGTTGTAAATTATTCTAACCACACAATCATTTGAAAATGAGTAAAGCAAACAGAGTGAATTGGTATACCCCAAATCCTTTTATCTCCTTTCTCCCCCTCATTCTCCTCTTGATCCTCCTATTCTTCCTTTGAAATGGGGGGAGGTGAAGGGGGCTGTAGATTCTGTATCTAAACATAATCTATATACACATGAGAAAAAATAAGATGGGACTAAACTTTCTTCAGGAAGTGTTGTTTTTCCCCAATACACAAATGCTACAGAACTCAGATAGTGACTTGTGGTTCTGTGAGTTGCTTGTTTCCATTTTTTCTCTTCCTTCATGTAGTTTGTTTTGAGACTGTCTTAATGTCTCCCATCAATGACTAGCTAACTGTATCCATTTTGTAATGATACCCACTGTTTTATAAAATTCTTTGACAAGTTGGAGGGACAAGAAATGAAATCCCTGCATCTGGTTTAGTAACAATTGCAGTTGAAAGCCATACTGGTTCATTTAACCGTTCTATTGCTGACATCCAGCCCAGACTTCAGCAGTTTTAGATCTAGGATCAAGAAGCTAGCCTGTGATCTCAGCACCCACAAAACAGCAATCAGGCTGCGTTCTATCCCTTATGTAATAGCCTTAACTTCGTGTTTTGGTATTTGGTTTAAAAAAATTCAGAGCAACCATTATTCTGGATCTTTACTCTTCCAAATATTTATGCCCCAGGACAAAAATAATGGAAACTGAAGGAGTTATACTAATTGCCATATCAGAAATTAGTCAATTGACTATATGAGTACCAAATCAGAGTTACATTTTTGTTTCATTTACTGTTTGATAAACTTTTGCTACGAGTTGAATTCATACATGTTCACATATTTTCCTTTTGTCACTAATTCTTTTAAATTTACCTGCAAATTTTATTTTCTTTCTATGAAGTTTGGATTTTTGTAAGCCATCTTAACTATTTTCTGGAGGGAAATGTGATAAAAATAAGTACATTTATAAATAGAATATAGGTTCATGCTATTAGCTGGGAACTGACTATATCTATTTTGCTGACAATACTAGATTCAGTTTTTAACCCTAATTGCTCACCATAATTTATCGCAATCCCACAGTGGAATACATTTCAAAATAACACTAGAATTTATTTACTATTTTAGTCCAAAAAGTATGATTTTTGTTACTCTAAAGTATTACAGTATTAACTGAAGTGCTGTCTAAATACCCCAAAGATTTGTTACATCGTTTCCCCCCAATATCAGCTCCCTTTGAAATTAGAAATAATATGGTTTATTTTATTGTTTTATTCACTCATTTTATTAGGAAATAAATGTTTTATTAGGAAATAAAAAACACACTGAAGGATTTGTACTGTCCAAATAGCACTACTGTCTGGTCAAGAGTTTTTTGTCACCTGTTGGTTAATATTTTTAAAACTATGAGCTCAAGCACTGAATTTCCTTAGAGAGCAGGTGTTCTGACCTCACAGCCAAGATTGTCTTTTTGGTTTCTGTATCTCATGCATTGTAGATTATGCCTATTCTTTTAGTGTGACATATATTAATGCTTTTCATTGCTCTCATTGTCACTTTTTCTAGGTCTACAGCACCAAGACAAGAGCAAGGAATCACCATGGTACTGAAACGCACAGTATTAATAAGTCAGATTGGAGCATGAATCCTCGGGCCCACTGGGAATAGATGCTGCCAGGATTTTCCATTCTGCGATTGGACACAATAGACATGGAAGGAGAAGAGGAGTGTCAATCAGCTGACTTTGCATTGGAGACTTTTCTTGAGAAAGCAGAGTGGGTCCTAGACATTGAAGAAAAGCATTTTTGTTTATTTTTCCCCTCATCTGAGCCTTTGCCAACTGTGCAACTCTTTTTATTTTATTTTAATTTTTTTGGTTTTTTATCTCAATACATGGTTTAATTTTTGTTTCATTTTGATTTTTTTTAACCAACCACCTTGTCAGGAAAAGATGAATCACAAATGAATATGCTCATTCTTTCAGGAATAAAATTTTATAGCTCTATGTGCATCTATTTTTGTAGAAATACAGAAAGTTTGATTTAGCATTGATGGGCTATTTTTGAGGGATGTATTTTTTTTAATATTGTAAAAATTTTTAAGTTCTGTTTAAAGAACTTGCTCTCAGAGAAGCACTGGGAAAAAAATAATGTTTAAAATGCTTGTCTTTTAAGATGTCTGTGATATGCTCTGTGCTTTCTAGGTTACCTCAAGTGTCTGATAGTTTATCCCTTTTTACAAAAGTAACACCGTAGCCAAGCCGATGTAGTGCTGTATCACATTAAATCTCAGTGAAGATTGAATTCCATGCTACCTTACTTTGCTTTGAGTAATATGTATAGCTTGAAAAGGAAGTTTTTTTAATGAACACACTAAAGAAAGAATATTTGATTACTTCGATTTCTCCCAATTAGTACTTGTAGCTTGATTTAAAAAGTTTTACATAAACCTCCAATCAGATGAAGAGTTTGCATAGAATATGTAATTCTCTTTCTAGTCCATCTGAGTTTGATAAATGGAACCTGAGGTTATATCCAACTACTGGAAAAAAGTGCATTTAATCATGCTACCTTGGAGTGCCAGTGACTTATTTTTCTCATTCCTAATTCATGGCAATTTTTAAGGTCATATATTAAGTGGAGTTCTTTTCCTGAACATAGTTTGAAGGGATACTATTTGGGAAAGTACTAGACGTATTACAAAGCCTTCAATTCAATGACTCTTTCTGATCATGTTACCTATCATTGTGAATTGAAAACTAATGTAGTGTATGTGCAATATTTTAAACATAGGTTTTTGCAAGTTTTTTTTTTAAATCTGGGTTTAGGTGATTTAATGCTTTATAAGAAAGACACTTAGAGCAAAATGAAATTTCAATTTGAATTTATACCACATTTACTGAAATTGGGTTTACAATTTGATAATTTGTTATTTAAAATTTATTTTTGAAAACCCCAATTCAAATTGATTGGCCATCAGAATGTAAATAAGGTTAAGTTGGAATTATCAAGACCCTTCTAGAAAAAGATTATGAAAGTAGCAGTTAATGATAGTTTAAGGACTTTTAATGCAAAGTCCATTCTTTTTTCCAGGTCTTTTCAGAGATGGGTCATGTTAAAAAGTTAATGTTATAGAGAAATTTTTTGTTTGGTAAAAAAAAAAAAATCTCAAATTTTTTCCATCCCCATCTTCACCCATGTGAAATACAATATTTAGTGAAAGACCACTTTTCATCTTAAAGTGTGTATATTATGTATGTGAACATTTTAGATATAAGAACAACAAAACCTCTGCTTAGCTAGGCAGAGTTCTCACAGATAATTTTCAAATATGTCCCTTAGCTGTGTTTCATGTACTAGTTTTCTTTCCTGGAGCATCTCATGAGGTATACACTGTCTTGTGGTATTCTTATCACTCCATCCATTGCTTTTTCTTAGCCAGACTCTCCTTAGCACAATATGCATTGGTACCTAATGTGAGGTCCAAACTTAAGGTATCTTCCGCTTACTAATGACATGAACTTAGATTTTTAGGGCCTGGCTTAGTTAAATGATCTACATTTTGATTTACAATTTGATATATTACAGTTGTTAGTAATTTTGCCAAAATCTGTGGAGCACAGAGTTGAATGTATCTATAAAATTGGTTTCATTTGTGTCCTCCTGAGTTTTCAAAGACAAATATTTGGTATTCCCATGGGAAGACTCACTGGGGATTATTTATTTTTCTCTTCTTCCCTTGGAACCTATTAACTTCCTTTTCAGTGTCTCTGAGAATGGTATGGTATACCAACTCATCTAAATCATTCAATTGGATTTCCCCAGTTAAGAGAAGAAAAGTATTAACTTTCTGCTCTTTTCCTTATTCTCCACTGAATTGAATTGAAGGAGAGAGAGCAATTAGATAGCTTCACTCTAAATTGAGACTGTGTTCTGTGTCACTCCTGGCAACCATAGGATAAAATATTCCTTGGCTCTGGGGGCCTAAGAAAAGTTGGGGACCTAAATTCTGCTGTACACGGAAAAGATTTGTAAGTGAGAAGGGACCTAGGTGGTGTTGGCACAGCAAGGATTAGATTTTTGCATATGCAAGGAGTGGATCCAATCTAAGTGAAAAAAGAATGAGTGCATGTCTACAATTGTCTGGCACCCCTTACTATGATCACATTATCATTACCAGCAGAAGTTATAAAAAGATCAGTTGTAATTTAGCATGGTATTCTGAATTTATTTTAGGTTTAAAATGCTAGCACACTCTGGGTCTGGTTTGCTAACATCAAAATGATGCAGTTGAACTTAGAGTCTTCCAAACTGCTTTATTGAAGGCTGCCACCTCCTTCCTCAATTTCACGTGGAACCACTCTATCTTTGACTATTTTAGAAATTACTTAAGCTTTCTAAAAATCTGTGAACTAGCCCCTAGAAAATGATCTGATTTAGTTGACATCTAGTCTATTCTTCCACCTAAACTATCATGAGCTAAGGAACAACATAATAGTGACAAGTCGATTCTAACAGGTTATCGGTCCCTCATTGTTTATTTGAAAAGAGTGCTAAACTTTTTAAAAATCAGTGTTTCTTCTTAAGAAGGTTAACCATCCACTCCTCTATTTTTTCTTCTTTCTCATTCCTCTTAAAATTACAATATTATTTTAAGCAAAAGTGGCCAGGATTGTTTTGAATTTTGCAAATGAGAACTAGTGGATGACAAATGATTGAGGAATTAATTTCTTTAACTTTATAAGAAACTTTAAAAACAACACATCCCAGGCATTGGATTAAATGTGCCATTGAGGAACTCATTCATTATGCACATAGTATTTGCCCATTCTTACTCTAAGTGAGACCTATAGAATACATGACAGAATCTATCTCACTTTTACATTTACTTTCTGGTTTAATGTTACATTTGTAATTTAAAGGAGCAATCAGAAACTATATTTCAAGAAACTGCATCCTATTTCTCACTGAGTGTCCCTTTGTTAGATAATATTTGCTGAATTAAGTCAATGGGGCAGTGGCATTAACTGTAGAAAAGGAAAGAATTTATGTTAGCGTTCTGATGGGGATATGAATTGAGAAGTCGAATGAATTAATGGAAAAGTGCATTGTGTTGGGCATTAGGTCATTCTCTGAATTCTGGCTTAACCACAATTAGATATATGTGATTTGGGGGTTTATTTATTTATCTCATGAGTAAAGTGGGATAATAATACCTACTGGCAGGCTGTGAAGGTTGAAAATCATATATATGTATATAAAATCCATCATCAGCTCATAGTAGATGTTCAATAAATAACAGCTCACTCATGTCTATCAGTTGAGAAAGTAGGTCATAAAACTGAGCTCCTAAATGTCCTCTCTCTTTACTTCCCATACCCATTTCTGCAGCAGTAGATATATCACTGTGCTTTTCCATAACAAATTAATGCAAGAGAATCTTTGCCTTCTACTAGGTGTTGAAGATAAAATGTAAAATTCTTAATTATCTCTAATATTTGAGTGTACCATTTATGAAGGAAAATAACCTCTTAGTGGTATCTAGGTTCAACTCTGAGTTTTCTTACTTATTCCAACATTGGATTCATCTAGGACCCTGTGTATTATTTTCTCCAAAATTAAGGCAACAGGTTTATTAAATCACCAAAGTTATTGTTTTTCAGTTATATTTGGGGCTTCCTTAGCACCTGGAATAAAAACATCTTTTTTGAAGTTATTCATTTTTTTTTTCTACTTGCCATGGAGGAAAAACTGCAAAATACGGTGGAAAAAAATTGCCTGCATGTGAAAGGGAGAAAAAAGAAAAAAACAGAACCCTTTAAGATCTCAGTCAGCAGATTTACTCTGCTTGAGAAAAAAAGAAACAACTTTATTGGAAGCAGATGTTGACACTGTGTCGGTTATTGAAGATGGAAAGAGTTCAGTTGAACCATTGCAGTTACAAAGGGGTATTGATGGCAGTTAGAATTCCTGTGATTGATCACCTTCACAACAGACAGAAGGACAGCAGAAAGCAGAAACTTTGAGACCAAGACTGTAATCAGCCTGCCAATTTTAATATGCAGGACCTAAGGATGCAGTTTTGTTTTGTTTTATTCTTTCATCCAGGATAAAAGACACATCTTTGAGAAAATGTAAGCCTTGTTTGAGAGAGAAATTAAAATGTATTTCCTAAAATCTTGGCCCAAGAACCCTTTAGTATTAAAGCATTAAAACTATTATTAAAGTTGTTTTAGAAAAATTAGGTTAAAGTTTTTGTTCAGTGATGTATATTGTAAGTGAATCTGTAAACTACACAAAGGTGGATGACTCTGGAGATTGGGGTATGGGTGGGGCCTGCAAGGAGACCTGAGTCTAAATAGCCTCAAAATGTTAATTACCTTAGTAACTTGGTCACAGAACAGACTTTCAGAATTTTTCTGTAGGTTTTTCTTTCTTTTAGGGCTCTCTGGGAATATTACGTATACACTTTTCCAAAGTATAGAAATAGTCATTATTATTAAACTATCATACTTTGCTTATTTCTTTTATTGTCCATTGTACTTTTTTTTGTTCGTGTGAAAATATTTTTATAGTTTCAAATAATTGATCAAACTATTTATCTTGAAATTGCAAATGAATTTAGTCCAATAAATTTATCTATCACCCTTTTAAAAATGCCAAGAAATAGTAAGTGTAATTTGCCAATTTCATTGTATAAGTAAACAATGACACTTTCTAGAAAAGTGCAGGTCGCCATCAATTAGCTTTCTTTCAAACTGTTTCTGGACTACTAAATTTTGATTTAAGAATAATTCTTTTACTATATAAGATTCTTTATTTAGCATTTTTGGTATATGCATAAGATGTGAACTTTTAAAATGATATCTCTTTATACTAATAGAGATGTACATTTTTTCCTATGCTGTGGCAAGGGCAAAAATTAATGATTATTTACATACTTGATTTAATTTCTTAGGCTATTTACAATCTTGGATATTATATTTGATTTTAAAATACTATTCCATATATTTTAACGGATTAACAATATAGGGAAGGATTTTCATGTGAATTATTTGTATCATTTTAAAGTGCATATATTGAAAGGAAAACACAGATTTAATTTTGTTTTCATCATATAAATCTAAGATGTACTTTTGTAAAAAATACATAGTGTGTTAAACTTATATTTGTTACTTGGTTAGGTAAACTGAAAATTAATGCTAGAAATATCTCGCAATCTTGAAATACAGTCAAATTCCAGATTTGTTAGTTTTATGAGCAAATTTATGCCATCTTAATTTTACATTTCCAGAAAGATAAATGAATCTTAGCTATATTATCATTCTTAATTTACAAAAATAGATGTAATTCATAAAATTTTTGGCTTTAAAACTAATTATAAAATCATATTTCCCCCCTGTTTTTCTTGGGGTTGGGGAAAGGCATTTTCGTATTTCTATTCACTTTTCAAATGCAGGTCTCATAACTATGTGTTGATGATATAAGATAATGGAGGACTTTGTAATAAAAATAAATGACTTCAATTTGTTCAATAAATAATTTAATGTGAACTTAATGTTTATATTTAATGTAGCATTTTGGTTTAATTTGTATTTCTTGACTCTTAACTAAAGCTCTCTGTTTTCTTTTTATTTAAGCAACTTGTAAATATCTTTGGAAATTAAAACATCATAGGGGTTTTTTAAATGAGATTTAGTTAATTTTTAGAGCCAAGAAATGTATGTTACAGGGAGAAATAGGTTATAAAACAATTGTTAATAATGGAAGAGCAAGTGAAATGGGCTGTATTACATAACTGAGGGAAGCTTCTGAATCTTTTAATACAATATTTCTAAAGTTATAGATAGACTCTTTGGGAGAGAGACATTTATTTTATTTTATTTTTTTGCATTTGTTGATACAGATGAGCAGTATGGAAAAAGAAACCAAACTTTCCCAACAATTCTTTGAAATGCACCAAGAAGGAAGTCCAAGACCTGATATTTTTAAAAGAAGCTAGAATTTCCCTACCTGGGACTTCTATTTCCTTATTAACTGAATCTGTAACGTGATAGTGCCAAGTCTGAAAATCAGTATTGAAATCAGTAGTGCCTCCAGCATTACAGGTGAAATAACTTGGCACAGGCTTTTTAACAGTCTGCATATCTTTAGACCAGACAGTGTCATAAGTTTTCTATGGATGCTGTAAAAATTACCACAAATTCAATGGCTTCAAACAGCATAAATGTATTATCTTACGGCTCTGTAGGTCAGACATTGGCCCTGGCCTCAGTGGGCTAAAATCAAAGTGTCAGCCGCATTCCTGGATACTCCAAGGCAGAATCTGTTTCAGTGCTGTTTTCAGGATCTCCAGTCCTTGGCTAATGGCCCCCTTCCTCCAACTCCAAAGCCAGCAATTTCTGGTCAAGTCTTTCTAATATGGCATCGCTCTGACCCTCTTTTGCCTCCCTCTTACACACTTAAGGACTTTTGTAATTACATTGGCTTTACCTGGATAATCCTGGATAATCTCCCATTTCCGAGTCCTTGATTTAATTCCAACTGCAAAGTCCTTAAATGTTAGGCAACATGTTTACAGATTTCAATAATTTTTTTTCATCAGCTTTGTAGTGTGAGGGAATTTACTGTATCACTGAAACTAGCAAGGCTTGTTCCATGTTTTCAAAGGTCATTTGTGCAAGATTCATCTTCAATTAAATAATTGCATATGAAGGAAATTCCTGTTGCTCTCTTAAACGTCTCACGTGGTTATTACAGTACCTTGGGATCCAAAGGGTTATGTGGTATTTATTTCAGACAGGCACTCAGGGGGGTGGAGACAGGACATCTGGTGCAGATTCTTCCTAGCTGAAGTGTGTTTTCTTTGGGGACAATCACTACCATTTAATTGTTTTGCTTCCTTTTTTGGGAACATATGCCCATTCTGTGATGTTCTAAGTCTCCAAGCATCTCATTTGACTTGCTTATACACATTTGACTAAATATCTATATATATGACCACATTGACGTGGTAAAGCTTTTGTATTTCTGTCTAGATTGAATCATTGCATCTGTTATCAGTTAAGCAGTGGAAAAACTGCTATGGAAAGCCAACATGTTTTGATCAATTTAATGTGTAAAGTAGGTACCTTTACTCTAAAATGCTGTTAATCAATAAGTGAGCTAGACTCTCTTAAAAACAACACTCAAGCACAACTGCTTTACTTCCCATACCAACTTTGGCTGTGGCTGAATGAACACCAGCATTGATCTTTTCGTTGCACTTGCACAAGAGACTGTTTGCAGGGAGCCAAATATAGCAACAGAGGATTTAATATCTTGCCAAAAAATACAAAATCTGTTCCCCTTTAAGCATGACACTCTATCCTTTTCTTGTGGATCTTGCTAAAAGGAAAATATAGCTTTAAACAACCCCATTCCTTCTGCTGGAAGTTTCCTAATCTTTTACAAATGGACTATATGTGGTTTTATGGTGTTTTACGTTTCCAAAAGAAAATGGCTGTATGAAAAAGCTATCCAGTGTTACTATTTTTTTTTACCAAAAAACAAACAAACAAACAAAAAAAGTTATAAATTAAAGATGAGAGTCAATAGCAATACTTTGGTGGCTTCAGGACTAACCAAGGATCACTGTATGATTATCTATGTTTTATTTTATATTGAACCAAAAATAACAATTTAAAGATAGACAAGATCAGGCGCGTTCAGGGTGGTATGGCTGTAGACTAAAGATAGAGAGCAGGCAGACAGCTCTGGGGGTTGGGGGTGGGGGTGAGAGTTGTGGGGGGAATGGAACAAAAAAGAGAAAAAAAAGAGTGAGAATTCATGGACATGGACAATAGTGTGATGATTGCAGGGATGAGGAGGTGGATGGAGGTGGAAGAGGTCATAGAAGGGATAAATGCAGATGGGAAAAATTAAATTAAAAAAATGAATTTTACCAAGAAGGTGCCTCCTTTTCTTAGAACAAGGGTGTTTTGCTCTGAATGCTGTCTGAGTGGTAGATGGACTGATCCAGATTTCTCTATAATGTGGGTAATGACTGATTCTTCTGCTCCACTTATGATGTATACACAAAATTTTAAAACAGTTTTGCAAACATCACCAAGAAAATAAGCTTTCCACAGTAACAGCTTTACCAGACATCTCTGTGTGGGATTTTAAAACAAACACAAAGCTGTTTGGAAATACTTGGTATATGTAAATATGCTAAATATGCTGAACACTGCTAACAGCTGTAGGGTGTACTCTCTCATCCTTGAGCAGAATATTTTGGTGGCAGTGGTGCTTATTTTTTCCACCCTGGCTTGTCATTCCCTACCCCCTTTGTCTCCACCCACTCCCCCATCCACAATATCCTCCAAAAGCACATACTTCCCCTCCTTCCCCCTCCCCACTACTTCTACACTGCCTCCAAGAGAATCAGTGCAGTAGATCCACTGGAAAAGGTGGGTTGTGTCCTGGAGGAATGTTTGAGTTACACAATGTAGTAAAGGCTGAGCTCTGAGGAACTTGCTTGCACTTGCTCTGACACCAGCCCGTACACAGCCCAGACACTCTGCAGGCCAGATTCCATTAGGGCTTGTCATTGCAGGGGAGCAAAAGTCTAGTTGAGAGTGGCCTTCTGCCATGATGATTCTAAAGATCACAGAATAATCATTTTAAGTGTGTGGTGTCAGGTTCTGTAACATCAAGAGGCTCATTCATTTATGAAAATAAGCATATGCCTTCCTGCCTGGAGCCAAAAAGAAGGGAGGACCCAAGAGAAAAAACGAAAGTCTCTTCTTGCAGGACTTTGACAGGTTTGTAGAGGAAAAGGTAGCAGATGTGAAGAAAGAAAACCTGGTTCCTCAGACCAGTTTCTCTGGTAATTTGTTGATATTATTCAGTCCCATATTTCCTCAGTTTTCATATTTGTCAGGTAAAAATCAAATAAAATGATAAATATCAGCTGTTTCGAGAAAACTAAAAGTACTATATAGATACAGAGATAGGAGCTGACATTTATTCAAAGTCTCCTATATACCATGAACATTATATGAACTTAAAAGAATTATTACAAATAGCAATATGTAGATAGCATTATTGGAGAGGCAGTTAGCAACATAAAAAGAAGATTTGAGATTTAGTGATGCTACTTGAAGCTGTATGTCCCTGGATGATTTCCTTAACTTCTCAAAATCTGTGTGTTCACCTGTAAAATGAAGATATTAAAAATAACTACTTAATAGAGTTGTTATGGGGATTAAAGTATATAAATTATTTGCCATTAAGTAAATACTATTTTATTAATCATATTTTATTAGTAATTTAGAGTATTGAGGAAATCATCAAACACTTACCCAAGGGCATTATTCTACAGTGAGAGTCAAGATTCAAACATTTTAACAAAAAAAAACACAAAAATCTTAGAACACCATAATGCCCCCCCCCCCAAAGTTGTTGCTATAGTCCATCTGAAAGTATTTTCTATGAACATATTTTAATACTCCCTTATGCGATCCATGTCCTACATGGTTCAGGGTTCAGGATCTGGAGAAGGGCTGCGTGCAAATGACAGAGACTAAACAAGAAATAATAATTTGGAAATATTGGGACCAGGCGGAAAGTCCAACGCAAGGGGAAGGACTTCCACTGGTGCCCAGGCCTTGCCAACCTTTTATTCAATTTTGGATACACATATAGCCCTTAGGCAGGCAATTCTGGTAACAGACAGACTATCTTAAAGGTCAGTAAATATTAGTAAAGATTTACCCTGAGACTATTTGGTCAGGAAATTGCTTGAGCTACCATTGTCTCAACTAAACAATTGGTGCATAGCTCTGGTCCTTGCCAGGGCTCAAGGTTCACCAGCGTTCCGGGCCCCTTGTATACACTTCTCTGATAGTGAAGACAATGGGTAGCTTCGAACACTCCCTTGGAACAAAAGAGATAATAGGAGGAACTGACAGTGGCCAGAAAGGGAAGGGAATGTTAGAAGAGTGAGCAAGAGTAATATGGCTGAGATAAGCCAAATAGAGCTATGACAGATTTTGCAATTGCAGACATTCTTTAAAACTTGTGGCTACAGAATCAACTAATTCAACACATTCTGGTCTGAGGTATCATGGTTATTTTTCCAGTCAACTTCAAATCTCATTCAAACAATGAATAGTGGGTTGGAAGAATTACAACATTTTGTTTTGACATCTTACTTTTTCATCTGAGAATGTCAACTCCCCAATATCTTTACTGATGATTTCTTGTTTTGTCTGCTAAAAAAATCAAAATTACATTTTAATTCTGATTTATTTTTATAATCAAAGTAATGTTTGTGAAGTATCCTCATTTTGCACACCCTGAATGCTTGTTGGGGTAAGACTAAAAGTGATAAATCATTTAAAAATATATTATCCTGGACAGCTTTCCTGTCAGAAAGCTAAGATGTTGAAAGAAGATTTGGTCTGTATGGCTGTTGATTGAACATCATCATGTGCACCAAAAGGTCACTGGTTTGATGTTTCTCGGTCACATTGATGTTTTTCTCTCTCTCCCTCCCTCTTTCTTTCCC